TGCAAAGATGATAGCCGCTTTCGGCTAGGTGTCGGCTCCCAACAGAAGTGGATACATTGGAATGGCGGTGGGCTAAAAGTGAGGCCTGGGGGATCTATAGGGGTGAAGAATGCAGGATGTTCCCTTAGGATCTGCTTAGTCCCCTGAGAATGAGGTAAAAGAATGAGAAGAGGCCATAAGAGTTAGTCTGCTACAGAGCAGGGGATGAGACTGGGAACTGGATATGGAGGAGAGGAGGAAGAGTAAAGATAAGCTCACCCACTTGCTTCACTGCTTTCAGGCATGGCCAGTGGGCTCCTAGAGAAAGCCTTCTGGAATTGGGGGCTGGGCTACAGATTTGAGTTGCAGGTGCCTGTTTACTCTTCATGCTCTACAGCAAAGAATGCAGATGGTTAGTGTGAAATCTGTGACCTTCCTGAAGGATGCCAGAAGCAGACCCATGCTCCCTATGGAAATTCTACAGGAAGACCCTGAGGGCCTGGCAGATTCTAATATACTTTGTAAGGTAGCAAAACGATGGGACAGAGGGTACAAGGGCTGTTGTGAGTTTAAGGCCAGCTTGGGCTCCATAGTGAGTCCCAGGTAAGCCCAGGAGAGTGCGAAATCTTGTCTCAACAAACACATCAAAGAAAAGAGATAGTAAAGAAAATAAATATAAAAAAAAACTATTATTTCTGGATATCATTGAGTAGAAAAATAACTGACAATTTTTTTTCTGTTTGCAATACAAAGGAAATTACTCTTTATATAATAACTATCTTAAAATGATATGTTGTAAATAGCTTCCAGAGCAGAAAAAATCAATAAAGAATGAATTGATCTAATTTTTTTAATAGTCTAAAGCAACCCATCCATCAAAGAATGAAGAAAGCAAACAGAGAGAAGAAAAAAAAACATAGCTGAACTTTGCAGTCCACCTCATTTACATACTAGTTTAAAAATGTGTGATTATCCAAATGAGCAGAGAGGAATAACTTAATAAGATTTTAATCTTTGTTATGAGAAATTAAAGACCCAGAAATACAACAAGCATGTCCACGGTATAAGTGGCAGGTGTCTTTTTATTTTTACTTTTTTTTCTAATTCAGCAAGATGATAGATCTGTTAAGTCTCAAACATTGGGACAAATCCTGAGATGTCTATTTAACATATCAAAGCAGACCTGGGCCTGGCATCCCTCTGTCCCAACCTGTTACATAGTCCTCCTGGCTGGTATGCCCCACCCTCAACCCTTGACCCTAACTTTTCCAGCCCAGGTAAGTGGTCTGGACTTCCTTTCTCCAAGCTGCCCTTCCTCCAGAGGCTCTTTGCTATGTAATTTAGCCATTTTGGTCACCCAGCCGTCTTTTATCTTTTGTGTTCTTGGCTTCTTTCCTTTTCTCTAGGCTCTTCCAGATGTTTTTGCCCCGGCTATGCTCTCTCTTTTATCTACAATAAACTTTCTCCTCCACCATCCCTAGGCATAATCATGTCCTTTCCTTTTTATTTATATTTTTTATTTGACGTCAACACTAATTAGGAAAATAAAGGGCACGTTGTGCAAATGAGCAAATGCCTGTGATCAGGTAATGTGTTGGCTATGATTCTGTCCCTGCCTGTGAACATTGGTGGCTTCATCTTGTCTTAAGATTTAAAATCATGCATCAGAGGAATCCAGACTTCCTCTGGAGCCTCTTTCCATCTCAGAGCTGCTGTGCATTTCCCTCTGCACAAGTCTGAGGTCAGAAGTCCAGCCCAGAGATTCCACTCTTCTAAGCCACACAGGTACCAACCTACTCCCTTTCTCAACTGGCCACTCCAGACTTCTTGGTTTTGAGGCTAAAATCTTAAATGTGCCTTGCACACTCTTTCCCACAACCCCTCTGTCATGTTTTGCTACCTTACAAAGTGTATTAGAATCTGCCAGGCTCTCTGGGTCTCTAATCTGGAACTTTCATAAGGAGCATGGATCTGCTTCTAGCATCCTTCAGGAAGGCCATGAATTTAATCTGTCTGTATTCTTTTGTCTATAGCATAAAGTATAAATAAGGACATTTTCACAGCTGATGATGAAGTCATTGTTTCAAAATCACCTGACCTGATACTTCACCCTGCCAGAAGGTTAAAATACTTAACATACCCAGAAAGGTCCCTCTTCCTCCTCACCACCTCCCCTCCCTCTCATTTCTTCTCTGGTCTTATGACTTTCACTCTCTGTCTTTGTCTCTGAATCCCTCCCCCTCTCTCTCCCTCACCCTCCCTCTCCCCCCTCTCTCTTTCTCTCTCTTTCTTCCCACCTCCTTTCCTCCATCCCTCCCTTCTATACTTCTCTTCTCTCCCCCTTCATCTCCCTCCCTTCTCTTCCTCCCTCTCCTCTCTCCTCTGGATTCTTGGGTCTTCTCCAAGGTAGGAGAATTCTGTATTGGGTTTTTGTTTGGTAGAATGCATCTACCCCTTCAACCCCCATGTGACTATTTCAGGGCTTCTGGTTTCCTCAAGTCTCTATACATACCTCATACTGCCATGTGGCTTGTCTTCTTTACCCCAGGCCTAAGAATCTCACCTCTCCTCTCCTTTCCCCATTTTATCCTCATGATATACTAGAATGTGATATTTTTTGTTTATTCTTGTTGCTGGGCATTTCAATTGCAATGCAAAAGGTGATGGCTGCTTCGGTAATTCAATGACTTCTATTGTCTCAGAGATGGTCTTTGTATACTGCTGAAATTCTACAAATACTGAGTTGCTCAGCTACTTTGAAGAAAAACTGATACACACACACACACACCATAGCCAATCTTATTAATCATCAATGGTCACAATTAACTGGAACCCCTCCATCTATTTTTTGTCTACACACATATCACATGTACTGTTGGGAATTGGCAAAGATGTTAAGGGCCTCAGTACATCATTACAAGACTAGAAATAGAGTCATAGGGAGGGCAGAGTGGCTAGGTGTTTGTTAGTGAGTAATGTCAGGTCTCCAAAGGCTCTTCAATGGCCATTCTAAAATATCCAGTGTAGTACTGTATTCTATTTTGAATGTGTGTGTGTGTGTGTGTGTGTGTGTGAGAGAGAGAGAGAGAGAGAGAGAGAGAGAGAGAGAGAGACCTTGACTAACTGTGCTGTAATGGAGGAAGGGAAAATGAGCATGCTTCTGGGCCTTTGAAGTAATTAACAGGGGAATGGAGAGATGGCTCAGTGGTTAAGAGTGCAAACTGCATTTGCAGAGGACCAAAGTTCTGTTTCTAGCACCCATATCTGTAACTGCCCTTCTGCCCCACATTTGGGGGCCACTTTGTAACTGCCCGAGCTGCTCCTCCAATCTGTGGGTCAGGGTCTAGCAAGAGAGAGAGTGGGGATGGAGGGGCAAGAGATGAGCAGAATGGAGACGAGACAGAGAGTCTGTTCAAGTACCCCCTCTATTGAAAGGAAATCCTGGGTATATATAAGCATAAGCAGGGGACTGCAGCTGAAGACACTTTACCACGTGCACCTTGCAGCTTGGGTCAATAAACAACAAAACAAGATATGTAAGAAAAACAAGATATTTATCAGAGTGTGCTCAGCTGTTGCGGGCTGTTGAAAACAAGTCTCTTGTCAGGGTATATGGCTCGAGATGGCTGCAAAGATGATAGCCGCTTTCTGCTCAGTGTTGGCTCCCAACACACATCGGCACCCTTACTCTACCTATTGCTCCAACTCCAGGACATCTGACATCCTCTTCTAGCCTTGGCAAGTTCCTTAAATCGCCCGTACATGCACAGGAACACACGTGGATTCACATAAATTAAAAACAAATTTTAAATTAAGAGACTCTATACTTTTCACCCATGGAGACTCATAATTCCAAATGTAAAGTTGAACTGAAAATGGTGTAGACACATAACAGTTTACATGGTTCTACCTGCTTGCTTTCCATTGAACACATGGGTGTCCCAGGGACTCATGGATCTCTACACACTAGCATATTTGGGAATGTTGAAAGTATAAATGAGAATATCACAACATACAGTGAGGGATTTTGGAACAAGCAGGTAATTGGCTAATAGTATAGAGGAGATATATAGGTGTACCCATAAAATTTTATTTAAAGAAAAAGAGTTAAAACAGGCAAGACAAATTATTGATTAGATAAATGCTGAGAAATAAATTCTACCATATTCTATTCTTTATAATATCTTGTACCACCGTACACTACATATTTTATTTCTTTACCCAGGTGAGATGTACTAGTCCTTTGTATATATAATATGTGGGAAACAATGTAGTTGAGATTCACATATAGCTCTGGGTAGGTCAGCTATCGAGATTGTGTCTGTAGCACAATCCATGAACAATAACCAGTAAATGAAAACCTATAAAGAACTCGCTGGGGGAAAAGCCTTTTGCTGGCATTTTAGCTAAATTCTTCTATTTGTCCGTTGTCATTGCGAGCTTCCTCGAGCATAAAGATGGCTCTGGGAAATACCTGAAAGTCTAATATAAGCACGCTAAAGGTGTTATAAAGAAGAGAATTTATATTGGAAAGTTCTGCTTTTGTGGTGGTGTCTCAAATAATGTACTAACTCTGAAGATAAAATTTACCCAAACAACATCAGAACAGACTGTTCAGAGAGAGACTTCTGCAAGTCTTTCTCCTGATGCGTGTGCTGCCACCAAGTGGCATGTCAAGACCAACATTAATAAGAAGAAGCTAGTGTACCGAGGTTATTTGCTGTGTGTGCTCTGGCTGAAGTTATAAAAACGATCTAGCTGTCTTGGGGTGAAGTGTTGTGTCCTTGACAGACAGATTAGCCTCCTGCTTGACTCTCTACAGTGGTGACCGATGTGTTTGTACAGTGCTATGTTTTGAACTGCTCGGACCCTCATTTTTCTTTGTCAGATGCTTGGAGAACACATTTGATGTGAATGTGAAATGGGCAGGTGGTCAGTACAACCTTGTGGCTAGGATGACTCCTTCTGTTGAGGGCCAGTGTGATTCTTACTGAACACAGAAGCTCTGCTGTCTCTTGCAGCCTCCACTTCATTGTGTTTGACACTGAAACGGCTCATGACATCCTCAAGGTCTGGGATGGCCCAGTGGACAGCAACATCCTGCTGAAGGAGTGGAGTGGTTCAGCCCTACCAGAGGACATCCACAGCACCTTCAACTCCCTCACTCTGCAGTTTGACAGTGATTTCTTCATCAGCAAGTCTGGCTTCTCCATCCAGTTCTCCAGTAGGTGCAAACATGGGTTTCTTGTTTGAACACCAGGGCTTGCCAGGGGCAGAGAATTCTGTTCATATGTGAGTGAGAAATATTTCCTTAGCATAAATTGAGTCTTGGAAAGGATGTATTATAAAGGAGAAAGGATCTTTATGGTTTTCTTTTTTAATTAAGAAGGAAAAAGACTTCTTGTCTCTGACTGGGTTCATATCCAAGGTCCCTATGACAAAAGACAAACAAACAGGATGCATGCATTGCATGTATTGGTTTTGTGTGAGCTGGGAACCTAAGGAAAGAGGGCAAAGCTTGGGTGGAAGCCTGTATCAGAGCAAAGGGTGTGGCCGGATAGTGGATGGGGAGAATCCCATGAGCCCTGCTGGGTTAGAGTCTTCCCTACATCTCTGCATGCCTTCCTCTGCATATTGGAAAAACTGTTTTGGCAGGGGAGTCATGTGACTAACCTTACTGGAGGATTCTTATGTGAGTGCCTCAAGAGATGGAAAGGCAGGAGTTCACAGGGGTTCTTTTCTCAAATGCTAGAGGCTGTACTGAATGGTGGTGTGTCCTTAGTCTATCATTGTCAAGAGAACAATTGGCTTAGGAATGTGTGTGTTACCAGGTAGGGAAGCTGGAGGGAAAAGAATGACTTCATAGTTTTCACCTGGAGAGTGATTATTTAGGCAGCAGTGGAAGGCAGGTGATCACAATATGGGGAAAGTGGAGTTTGTGTCTGGGCTTCTCCCAAACCTGGCATTGACTCTGGCTTCTCTAACTTCCTCTTAAGCCTGTATGGGACCTCAGGTACCTGCTGACAAGGGTTAGTAAATGCTTTCCTTTCCACTTCCCAAGTGTCTGCATCCTTCCTCAAGCTCAGGCTTGACATCACTAATAGAGTAGCCTCTGGTGAACTATTACTGAGAGGCACATTCCTGTACTTGAACTCTTAGGTACTTAAGATAGGCGAATCCACTCTGCCCCGTTCGAATCCCATTCGAATTGCTTACTCAGAAAGATGGGATTGATACACTCTGTGGCAGTTCAACCTTTTAGTACCTTCCAAAGAGCATCAGATAGAGGTGCTATGTAATTCGGTAACATCGAAAGGAGTTCTGCTAATATACATGTGTCCACGAACTTTGTCACTTGGCAGGTTGGTAGAATTCTCTGTTAGGATTTACATAAGGAAATTGGCTGAAGTCAAGTTAATGCTTTAAGGGGTCATCCATGAAATCCAGGATTCAGACTCCCCAGTTTCTTACTCTGGTGTCCCTCTGATTCGAGATGACAGTTCACAAACACATATCTCTATTTTATTTTAATTATCATTTTCTTTTATACTTTTTTGTTTGTTTGCTTGTTTTTTTTTTTGAGGCAAGGTCGTAAATATGACCTTGAACTTCTGAACTTCCTGTTTCTATCTCCCAACTGTGATGATTGCAGGTATGAATTTATGTGGTACTGGGGTTGAAGGGGACATTTCATCATGCATGCTAGGCATGTATTCTATGGAGAGAGCTTTGTCTGGTCAGTGAAATCTGTCTAAAGAAGCTCCCTCCTAGTGCCTATCCTAGAGAGAGAGAAAGAGAGAAGGGGGAGAAATGGAAAGAAAGGAAAGAAGAGAGGGGGAAGGAAGGAAGGAAGGAAGGAAGGAAGGAAGGAAGGAAGGGAGGCAGGGAGGGAGGGAAGAAGGAATGTCTTTTAGTTTGGTATCATGCACTTTTGCTTTCTGTTGTATAAAATCATCCTTTGTTTTTGGAATATGCAGTAAACCAATTGGTAATCAGTATACTTTATTTAGCAAACTGAAAAATCCACAGGGTCAGAGGTGATATGCTCTGTATTTTTACCTTCTCTATATTTACATTTTTAACAGACTGTTTTCTACATTATTTTTAAGTTCACTAAAAAATTAAAGAGAAAGTACAGAGTTGTCATAAATATCCAGTCCCTCAGCTCCTAACACACTGATTTCCCCACTGTCTATCTGAAGAGTGGCACTTTGTCAGTCTATGAACCCAGTTGATATGTCATTGTCACCCAGGACTCCATTTGATGGCAGCACTTGCTCCATCTGTTGTCAGAGGTTAGGCCAATGGTAAATACACATAGCTACCATCACAGTGTCTTTCCAAATAGTAATTACTTTGTGTCTGGACATGAACTCTCTACTCTCCCCCTTTTTGCCAAACCCCATTTCTTGGACATTCCTGATCACCTCCCACCTTGAGTTTTTTTTTCTCAAATGTGGCACAGCTGCAGTTGGGCATCACACAGCCCTTTCCCACTGGGCCTCTTCCTCTCTGCAGCACAGTTAAATCTCATCTATGGCTTTCAAGGTGGTGCATCATACTTTAAGAGGTGAGCACAATCTATTACGGGAAGACCTTTGAGTTTAAGAATCCATCATCCACCAAAATGAAGGATGTCTCACCAACTTCCAAGTTTGGGCAACTATGAATATGACTGCTGGAAACTTCTATGTGCAGGTTTTGGATGGATATAAATTTTCAGTGCAGTTCGGTAAACATCTCAGTGCTCAGTCACGTGGGCTGGGGAGACTTCACACTATAACAAGCCTTCTCTCAGGTTTTAAAAAAATGTTTCTATTTAGAAAGGTATTATCCCTAAGAGCCCTAATTTTTCTACCTTCATTCATGATTCGTATTCAAAGAATATATTCCTACTTTAGGATAAAAAAAAGGCAATTTTTGAACATCATAGATACTTTTCCTCCATCCATATAATAATTTAATATACTTCAGGAGTATGATTGTAAAAATTAAATCTACAGACATTTATATGGAAAAGGAACTTTATAATTTCGTTTTGCAATATTCTCATGTGTATTACTTAGCAATATGTAGAATTATAGACAATAACCTGAGTGTTGTCAATTCTATATGATTTAGCAGAGTCCTTACATGTCCTCCAATTGTCTTGTTCTTGTTAGTAAACCTCCAGGTGTATCATCTATGTGGATAAATGTCATGTTGGATATTCTCTGTCTCCCATTGGTTTTGTTTTGAGGTAGGATCTCACCATGTAGTTCTGGCTAGCCTGTAACAAGCCATCTTCCACCTCCCTGTGCTGGGGTTAAATGTACTTCCACATCTAGTATCAGACTTTTTCTAGATATCATCTTCAAGTCTGTAGAAAAATCAGGATATAAAAACATGGTATGGACTGTGACTTAGAAATGTTGGCCTCCTGTTTAGGCTTGGAATAAGACGAGTATGATTCTGTCTCTATGCTTGTGGCTTTGTTGGTCTAGAATAGCAAAGAAAGTTGCCATGTTCAAGGCTACATTCCTGAAAGAAAACAGTGTGATTTTCAGATACAGAGATAGCACAGCAGAGCAAAGATAACTTTGAAAGCTGGGGATAGCATAGGGTGCACAGAAGCCACATCCAGACAGAAGAGCATATACAGCACAAGAGGCCAGGGCACACAAAGAAGAGCATGGGCGCTTGTCTGCAACCATAATGGAGGAAGGATTGAGGGACCTGGAGAGGATAGGGAAACTACAACACCCACAGAATCAACTAACCTGGGCTCTTGGAGACTCCCAGAGACTGAACTACCAACCAAAAACCATATATGGGCTGGATCTAGGCCCTCTGCTCATATGTAGCAGATGTACAGCTTGGTCTTCATGTGGGTCCCCAAAAAACGTGAGTCGGGGTGAAGTCCCTAACTTTGTCACCTGTCTGTGGATCCTGTTCCCCTAATTGTACTTCCTACACCAGCCCCAGTGGGAGAGGGTATGCCTAGTACTATAGTTACTTGATGTCCCAAGGTGGGTTGATTCCCTGGAAGAGACTCCCTCTTCTCAGAAGAGAAGAGGAGGGGGGAAGGGAGAAGAGGCTGAGTGAGGGAGGACTAGGGAGGCTACAACAGGGATGTAAGGTGAATTATGCAATTAACTAATTAATTGGGAAAAAGGAGAGCACTCACAAGCATATCAGAACAAAACCAACCAACAAGGAGTTAGAGCAAGCATGGGAAATATAAGAGATATAGGCAAGGCATACAAAGTGCCAGAACAGCAGCATAAAGCTAACATCTCAGGCATAAAATGAGGTGGGTGCTCTTACTACAGGCTTTGAAAGTGATGTGGGACTTGTGGGTAAGAAGACAAGCCAGGAGCTGCTTCATTCTGGGCCTATGAAGGAGACAGTCAAAATGAAAACACACACAAACACACACAACAAAGCAAACAAACAAAACAAAAGCTCAGTTCCAATGAAGGACAAAGATAAAGGAATTCAGAAACCCAAAAAGGATGGAGAATGCTACTTAGGACCTGCAGTGTACAGTAAGAAGTAGGGTATAGACACAGATGCAGCCATGTTCCTAGCAGAGGAGGGGAAGCAAAAGCCATTTGTAGCATCAGTTAGTTTCTCCTTGCTCTGTGTCTTGTGTTGCAGAGAAAATCTCTCAATAAATCACAAGAGTGATTCAGACCAACAATCACACAAGTTACAACATAGAGACACACAACATGAGAAGATCAGCATTCATGACAAAATGACTCTTCTTAAAGACTCTAACTTCTTAGTTACTACAGGCAAGGAACCCAACACAGGGAACATACCAGATGCAAGTCTCAAAAAACCTTCTGTAGACAAGATGCATTCAAGCCAGGGTCTAGAGAGAAAGGTCAGTAACAAAGGAAAAGTCATTGAATTCAACAACAACAACAACTTGATAATATTTTTAAAAAATCAAATAGAATTTTTGGAACAAAACTTTTGACACAGCAATAAACACTATGAAAAAGATAAAGAATAGGAAAAACAGGGTGGGAGTATACTCAATACTCTTAATCATATAAGTGAGCATGTTCCCAATATCTAATAATTCAAAGATATGATCAAGACACCAAATTTGAGGATCCATGGTCCAGAATAAGCTGAAACACTAAAGATACAAAAAATCAACTCAATGAAGTTCTCCAAATCTGGAGAAAGAATTGTCTATCCAAATATCTCAAATAGGTATGACAAGAGAAG